AGACTTGAGGGCCCGGCGTGGAGTGGAGGCTCACGCCTGCCAACCCAGCACTTTGGGAGGCTGAGGCAGGAGGATTGCTTGAGCCCAGGAGTTCAAGACCAGCCTGGGCAACATAGGGAGATCTCATCTCTGTAGCACATCTTTAAAAAATTGAACGGGCATGCTGATTCGTGTCTGTAATCTCAGCTGCTCTGGAGGCTGAGGCAGGAGGATCACCTGAGTCCAGGAGGTCGGGGCTGCTGTGAGCCGTGGTCGCAGCACTGCTCTCCAGCCTGGGCAGCAGAGTGAGATCCTGACTCAGAAAAAGAAAGAAAAAACCATGAGATTTGGAGAGGGACAGCCATCCAGACTCTATCACCCCCAACAGGGGTGGGCAATGAGCCCCAACCCAGAGGCTCTGTCCAGGCAGCACAAGCTCAGCTATGTCCTCTCACCTCCAGAAGCATCTCCCACTACCCCATCTCTGTGAACATGCCAGATTCCATCACCACGTGGCAGTTTGTGGCAGTGAGCCTCAAGGCTGGACAAGGTGACCCCCAACAAGCACAATTCTGAGGGGGTGGGAGGACGGTGGCCCTACCCAACGCCCCATCTGGCCTCTGCTGAAACCCGATGTGCTCTCCTGGCCGTAGGTCTCTGTGTCTCGGACCCCTTTGAGCTGACCGTCAGGAAGTCGTTCTTTGTGGACCTTAAGTTGCCCTCTTCCGTGGTCAGGAACGAGCAGGTCCAGATCCAAGCCGTGTTGTACAACTTCAGGAATCACCAGGTCAAGGTGAAGCCCAGAGCCCTGCCCTCCCCACCACAATATCTGTCAGTGTGTTTTACAAAAGGGATGGAGTGTATTCATTGTTTCTATGGGTCAGTGAGGTGGTGGCCCTTTTGCAAAATCTAAGGCTTATTTCATTTTATTTCTGCGTCAGTCTCACTGTATTGCCCAGGCTGGAGTGCAAGTGGTCCGATTATAGTTCACTGTAGCCTCAAACTCCAGGGCTCAAGCAATCCTCCTGCCCCAGCCTCCCAAGTAGCTGAGACTACAGCTGTGTGCCACCACACATGACTAATTTTTTTTTTAAGAGGCGAGGTCTCGCTTTGTTGTCCAGGCGGCTCTCGAACTCCTGGGGCTCAAGCAATCCTCCTGCCTCAGCCTCCCAAGGTGCTGGGATTACAGGCATAAGATACCACACCTGGTCATTTTCTTAGTTATATATTTGTTTGTTTGTTTGTTTGTTTGTTTGTTTAAGTCAGGATCTCACTCTGTTGCCCAGGGTAGAGTGCAGTGGTGTGATTACAACTCATCACAGCTTCGACCTCCTGGGCTCAGGTGATCCTTCCACCTCAGCCTCCTGATTAGCTGGGACTACAGGTGTGTGCCACCATACCCAGCTAATATTTTGATTTTTTTGTAGAGATGAAGTCTTGCTATGTTGCCGAGGCTGGTCTCGAACTCCTGGGCTTGAGCAGTCCTCCTGCTTTGGCCTTCCAAAGTGCTGGGATTACAGGCATGAGCCACCGTGCCTGGCCCATTTACTCATTTAAACCTCATAATAGGCTGGGCTCGGTGGCTCAGCCTGTTATCCCGCGCCTTGGGAGGCCGAGGTGAGTGGATTGCCTGAGCCCGCGGGTTCGAGA